GAAATGGCTCAGAAGCTTGGTGTTTCAATAGGACATGATGTTGTTCGTTACTTTGTAATAAGCATTATATATATAGTAAAAACCTGTCTATGGTGATTTCAACACATGGTCTTTTAGACAGGTGGTGCTGTAATACTGTATTTCTGTATGTATTTTACACACTTTTTAGCCATTTCTACTAAAAAAGCAAAACTCAAGTTGAGGAAAAATAAGCAAATTTTTTCAACGATAGAGCTGTATTGGTATTGTATTTTATTCTTATCGGATAATTCGATTAACTGGAGTTGTCATTATGACAGATTTAATACCAATATTTTACAGATTAATACAGTATTTGCATTTTCTCAATTATAATGCACACTTTCTTTTTTCCAACTTAATTAATTCAACTTGGTTGTCTTCATTCGCTCCTCTGTTACATGTATTATGTCATCACTATAGAAGCACAGCTTATCTCTCCACCATCTCGGTTTTGGTTTTCATTAGTTTAATCTTATTTTAACTTAAAAAATACTGTATTTAATAAGGTAGGTTGATACAGAAACTGTTTATTGCACATGTACTGTATATGAGATTCAAAAAAATAAAATAAAATAAATTATGTCAAACAATGAGATCAGCCAATTAATTGTATTGTGTACAATATATGTATTTTTATACCCCTAAGGAAAATACTGTAGGTCTACAGTACAATAAATTGTGTTTTCCTACAGTTAAACTTCACCGCTAATTGCTGTTGTGATAAACCATTTTCCCTTTTTCTGATAACTTTAACACAATCTTCTAATGACAGCACTTTGTATTTCTTTCATTTGTCTGACATTTTCAAACAAACTGAAATGATGAATTATCTTTGTAGCTGGACTAATCCATTAACACCTGTGCCTAATTTCAAGAGTGGGAGAAGTGCCCGAGGTGGGTTCTAACAAGAGTTTAGATTAATTCATTTCACTAGGAGGGGGAAACATTGTTGAGATGGGTTCAAACAATAGTTTAGACCAGATATATTTGTGGAAGTGGTTGTTTATTACAGTTGTTGTATGTTGTTTCTGACCAAAAATTGATGCAGGTGGTCATTTAATACAGGTAACTTGTACGAAGACTTTATGTATAAACTATTCTGTGCCAGAAATTTTTGGCCATTTCAACAGGTGGTCACCTAAGCAGTTTTTACTGTATATACAGGTATGCCTCACCTTATGTCGGTAATTGGTTCCAGGAGAGGCGACTTAAGTCGATTTACTTGTCACTAGGCTAAACCACAAATAACCATTTACAATTCTGTATTTTATTATAAATGCATTTTTAATAATATATGATTAATAAGAATCTATTTTAAGCTTACAAACAAATAAGTTTGTTTTTAATATAGTACAGCGAAAAAAGTAATTAAATTTAT